GATGGGAGTGAAGTTATAGAAGGTTGTGAGTCACCGCGTAGATACTTAGACCACCTACACTGTTAGGAGCAAAAAGTTCTCCTAGCCGCGCAGCCATTTTCCAGGTTCTGTAATGGAACTATTTTTGATTGCTGGACTTCAATCCTTTAATAGCTGGACCTTGGTAGGAGGAAGTGGCCAAATAAAGGAATAAACTCTCGGGGCTAGCTTTAGGAATGTAATCTAATGATTTTTAGCAAGGCAGAGGGATTGGGGAGAAGGGCAAGGCCAGCCAGAGCCATGATGGCCAGGATCCCTTCAACAATTGTATAATTAAAAGCAAGCATCACTTAATGTTGGTCAGGAAGATGGACCCGGGCTGGGTCCATACCTAGGATTCCTCAACTAGGTTATTCAGATGCTCACGGAGGCAAAATCCTCATGGCTACTGTACTTCCTGTCTTTGTTCAATGGGGGCAAGCACACACCCCCTTGTACTTCCTGCCTATGTACCTCTTGCTCGATTACTGAGCCTGTACATCCTGGTCAGGCATATTCTGTGCCATTGGGCCAACTATCCCTGTTTACTGAAGTGAAGATCTCACAGGAAGGACAACCCCCAGCGTTCCAGGAAGTTATCTGTCCTTGGGCAAGCGGGGCTTCCAGGCTCACTGTAGCTCTTTCTTACCTGCTTCTTCGTGGTATCTTCTTCAATCTTCACGTTTGCCTGAGCTGCAAGCTCTTCCAGTTCTTGCTTTGCCAATTGCTCCTCCTCGGAATCGTCCTCAAACTCAGGTCCAAATTTCCTTTCAGCCTTGAGCAGCATTTTTTCTTGGAGAAATTCATCAAACTGAATGTGAAAAATGCCAAAATTTTCTGCCAGCTTTCTTGCACACACAGTTTTGCCAGAGCCATGAGGACCCATAAGACAAATCCTTAGTGGAGGAGCCTGGCACAGGGGGTGGGAGCAGGGGGCAAAGGAGAAGAAGCCTTGAGTAATTAGCTTGGTTCAGACCCAGTTCACAGTGCTCAGGCATTCGGAGGCCAGAGCTGCGTATGGAGACCTTGTCTCAAACAAAACAATCAGAAACCAAATAATCTCTCCCTCACACCACAAGAGCACAAAACAAAACAAAAACAAAAACAAAAAAAAAGAAGGAGGAAGAGAAGACTTAAGTAATTTTTAAATCTTATTTTATGTGTCTGAGTGTTTTACCTGCGTGTGAATGCCTCGTGCCCGCGGAGGTCAGAAGAGGGCAACAGATGTCATGGAGTTAGCAGCCGGTTGTGAGTCACCAGGTTGAGAATTGAACCCAATTCTCCAAAAGAGCAACAAGTGCTCTTAACTGAATGACCTCTCTCTCTAGCCTCAGGAATTCTTCTTCTGTTTTAAGAGTCTATGTTCAGGGGTTTGAGTGTGTGTACGTGTGGGTAGCTGAGCAGTTCTGAAGAGGATTTGGAAGCTCTGCAGCTGGAATTATAGGTGGCTGTGAGTCACCCAAGATGCGAACCAAACTCAGGTCCTCTGCCAGAGCAGTCTGTGGTTCCAACTGTCCCCCATCTCTCCAGCCTCCCACAGACACCAAGTTTTACTCTGCAAATTCAATTATATTTAGGCATCAGGCTACCAGTGAACATAATTCACTGTACCAAAAATAGCTTTTAGGGGTGAGAATGGCTTTCACGTTATCCTACCGTGTATACCAAAAGGAATTTAATGAAAAGTAGCTTTACTTTAAAAAAAAGCAAGTGATAACTTCCTTATTAACATGTTAATAGAACATGTTAGACTCTCACTATGAGAGAAAAACAGAAAGACTCTCAGTGTGAGTAAAAAGAATCTCTCTACCAAAGAAAAAGTCCATTCGGAGTGGAACTTCAAAGATGTTGTCACTAATTCCACACTGGTGTCCACACTGAAGCTGAAGAAGCCAGAAGCCTGTTTTCCCAGTGTCATGTGATCATGCCCTGTAATGTGAGGTGGTCAGGGACAATGGTGACAGCAGTGAGTGTGGGGAAATGACTGTAAAACCAGTGAAGGACATCGACAAGGGGACAGTGGCACTGTGCTTGGGTAGTCTGGGCCTCAGGGGAACAGGAGGTACTAATGAGTGAGAGGGAAAATAGCTTCATAACCCATTTGTTTCTGTGTTGGAAATTCTGAGAGTTCAGAGACACAGAGGTGGCCTGCGATGTAGCTCAGCTGACAGAGTGCTTGCTTAACGTGCATGATAGCCTGGGTTCAATGACTAGAACAAAAACTCCTCACTGTGATGGTGCATGCTGGTGAGTCCAACACTTGGATTGTGGTGGACCTCTTTGGCTACATAGAAAATTCAAAGGCCATCTTGGGAGACAGGAGACCTTGTCTCAAAGAATAGCAGCAACAACAACAACAACACGACATATAGAAAACACTATGAAGCGCCAAAATTCTGGGGACCTTCATGGTAAGTATGCGCTGTGTACCAAGTACGACACATTAGAATCTGGGGACCTTCATGGTAAGTATGCATTGTTAGTAATCTGTTAAACTCCACCTCCACAGTCACCTGGCAACAGCCAGGTACGCTCCTCCCCACAGTTACCTGGCAACAGGCAGGTAACCCTGCCCACTATAAAAGGGGCTGCTTGGCCCCTCCTCTCTCTCTTGGCTCCTCGACCCAGCACCTGAAGGTTGTCCTCCCCCCTTCCCTTCCCCTTCTCTCCACGTGGTCATGGCCAGCCTCTACCTGCTCTACTCTTCTCTCTCTCCTCCCGCTCTCCCACTCTCTTAATAAACCTCCCCTCGTGGAACCGTCTAGTCTGCTGTTATCTGTCCCAAGCTGCGCATGGAAATCCTTTTATGCACTGTGTACCAAGTACGACACATTAGAAAGACTCAGGGTTACGGCACATTTAAGAACACCAAGAATGAAAAGAAATTATTTGTCTCCAGATTTTTTTTAAAAAAAGAAAAGGAGAGACAGAGTTATCTATAAAAGAATGATTCTCAGCCTAGCAATACTAGATGCTAACACACAAGAGAGGACCATCCTTAATATTCAGGAGGAAAACTGATGTGCAGTCTAGAAACCTATGTGATCCAAATTGAGTGATTTCCTGCACTCTCTCATCAGTGTGTGTTATGGTGAAGTCTCTGATCTCACTAATAGCCAACAACAAACAAACAAAAACATAGCAATAATATCTAAGCTTAAAAATAAACAGCTTTTTGCATGCAATCTGACATAAAAATAATTATCAGTTTTGGCTTCTCTAGTTGTTGTAGTAAATATTTCATCTCAATTGGGCATTTCTGCCCCATCTTTGATCATCTAGTTCCCAGATAAAAGACACAAAACTTATATATTTGTAATATGCCTTTAAAACACTAGAGCTGGGCACATATCTACCCTGTAAGCTATTAGTGTCTACTTCTCGGTTAATAACCCTGAGTTATGACTTACATGCTGCATCCGGGCTGCTCTTAACAACGATTGGCCAACCCTCATGACCGTATTTTTATGACTCACCTACCCCATGGCGTCTTCTCTCTCTACCTTTTTCTCTCCTTTCTCATGGTCCTGCCTCAGACTCCAGCCCTGGGAACTGGAACCCTGTCTACCTCTCTTCTACCCAGCTATAGGCTATAAGCATCTTTATCGATAGTGTTTTCACCTTTAATGGTTCGTTCTGGGACACATAGTCCTCAGGATGCTCCAAAAACTTCTCCTTCGCCTCAGTGCTTGAAAAGTAGTATATCTTTTCTCGGTATTTAACAGCATTGTCCATGTTGCCCGGTTGTAGGACAAAGTTTTCTTTGAGAACCACCGGGCAGAAGTGTTTGGTATCTCCCAAGTGTCTCCTCTTTTCTTTAATTTTTTCTTCACCCTAGAAATATTATTCGATAGTGAAAATTCCGTTGTTTTCCTCCCACCAGTGGGGACACATTTTAACCTGTTCCTTCGAGCACCCTCAGACTCAGTGAGGTAAATAGCTCTGCATACATAAAAGCTAGGGACACATTTAAGCACAGATGCAGCAGCTTGGAAACTAGAAACGGGATACTTTGCAAATTATTCTCAGCATTGCTTTTATCCACAAAAGGAGGAGCTGCAGCACTTTTCGGTCCAGCTGCAAAACTGGGCAGTCAGGTTGACCAGTCAGGTTGAGCGTGGTCTGGTCTCTGGCTAACACAGCATGAAAGTGGGCAGCCGTAGCTTCGCATAATTTTAAACTACATTTAGAATTGCTGGAGCAGTAGCTCGCACATCCCCAGCCGTCCACTGGAGAGCAGGGCTGTCTGGTGTGTGGTGGACACTCAGGTAGCTGGTGAAGGGCAGCGTTCCCGACAGACTCAAAGCACATTGTATTCTGATGGACTGTGGCCTTGCTACTGGGCTTCAGGGGCATAGCTATGTGGATTTATATCCAACAAGGTGACAGATCGAAACCAGCAAATCAGACCAAGAGGAACCGCAGAGGCAAGAGGGAACATTCTTTCTAATTTCTTCTTTAAATGTTTATTCTTTGTGAAGTTCATAGCATGTGCTCCAGTCCCACTCATGTCCCTTCATCTCTGCCCTCCACCCTTGCAACCCCTCCAAAGAAAGGAAAGTAAGATAGACTTAAAAACAATCTTGGCAGTATACCCTTTTGTCCACACGTTTATTTGCAACGAGTCATTGGTCTGGTTTGAAGCCTCTGGCTTCTTTACACTATCATTACTGGATCTTTACTAGGACTCTCCTCAGATATCCTGTTGCTACCCTGTGTCGTGGAGGCTCTGCAGTTTTGGCTCTCCAGGACTGGCCCTCTCACACATTCCAGCAGATCATAGATGCGGTAGCTGTTAGGGAGGGCCAACTCAAAGCCCTGGATATGGCTGGGCCTGGGAGGTGGCTGAGTTGGTTAGTCTGCCATCTTTCCTGCCACCAAGGTGAGTTCACCCAATGCCACAACCTGCAAGGGGCAGGGCCAGCCCTCCTGCTCATGTCCTCGGGGCTGGCTCACGTGCATCTGGCCACCAGGCCCAGCTCTACTGTGCTGCCCAGGTAAGGGTAGGATTGCTCTCCCTAGTGCTGCAGCCACGGATGGGCAGCAGCAGGGAGGGGGGAGAAGACATCTCTCCTTTGTCCAAGCCACCCCATGGCAGACTAGGGCCGGGTGGCTCTCCTGTGCTCACTCCCTGGAGCCAGCTCACCCACTCCCCTGCCTGCAAGCTCAGCTCTACTGTGTGTCTAGGTGAGGGGTGGGGCCAACTATCAGGAGTGGAGTGGGGACATTTTTTACTTTGTGCTGATTTGGAGGGAAAAGCATTGAGCTTTTAAAGTGTGCTGGCTAGTACTTATGAGTGTTTTTTTTGTAGGTATCTTTTATCAAGATGAGAAAGTTCCTTTTGGTTTTTAGATATATTTTAAATTTCGTCTTTGAGAATGTCATATATGCATACAATATATATTTCAATCATCTTGGCTCTGAATTCTTCCCCTCACACTGGACCAATCCCTCTCCTAATTTGATGTCTTTTTTTTTAATGACCCATTGATTCCAATTAGCATTGCCCGTGTACACAGGAGTGCTGGGCTCTCTGGAGCCCAGTCAGTCTACCGGAAACCATATCCTTAAGGAAAACTGTTGTTCCCCACTTCCCTCACTCCCCCCAGTGGCCAACAGCCGTCAGTGAGCAACTCCTCAGCTGGACCCAGGTGCCCCTTTGGACCAATTGAAACAATTGAAGCGTTTGTAAGCGCACACCTTTTGTTTCTATAATTAGTAATAGACTATGGGTTTTGCCAAATGGTGCTTTGATGTCAATTGAGAAAGTCACGTGTCTCCAACCCCACAGTACGATGAGTTATGTTGCGTGCTGTCCAGATGTTAAAGCAAGACTTTCTGGGACGAACTCTGCTTGGATATGATGATATATTATTCTTTTGATACGTTTTTTGAAATGTTGTTAAACTGTTCTTAAGAGTTTGTAGGTCAACTATTCTCTTTCCTTCGGAGTGTTTTAACAGAAAGGCATATAAATCTCATAGGATGAGTTGGAAAATTTCCCTCCCCTTCGGTTTCTGTTCATGTAGAGCCATTTTTATTTCTTCCACAAACATTTGGAAACATTTACGAGATTTTTCTTTCTTCCAGCTTCTGTATGTCTGAAAAACTTTAATTTGTATTCAGATTTTTTATTTTTTATTGGTTATTTTATTTATTTACATTTCAAATGTTATCCATTTTCTTAGTTTCCACTCCACAAACCCCTATCCCCTCCCGCCTGCCCCTTCCTCTATGAGGGAGCTCCCCTACCCACCCACCTACTCCTCCCCCAGCACCCTAGCATTCCCCTACCCTGGGTCATCCAGCCTCCACAGCCCTGCCTGACAAGGTCATCCTCTGCTATATACATATCTGGCTGGAGCCATGAGTCCTGCCATGTGTACTCTTTGGTTGGTGTTTTAGTCCCGTTGCTTTCAGTTTTAAAGAGAAAGTGTTACTAGGCATACAACTCTACGTCTATCTCTTCCTCTTCAGCACTTGCAAGCTGTTGCCCCGCCCTCTTTTGGCTTGCCCAGGTTTCCGTGAGCAACGTGAGCAACAGGCCATCACCCAGATCATTGTTCTTGCTAAAGTGGCACGCCTTCTTCTCCTGCCTCTTCTAACAAGTTATTTGCAACATGAATACGACATACTTGGTGCTGTTTTCCTCATGTGTCTTTGAAAGCGTTGCCTTGGTCATGGTGTCTCTTCACAGCAATAGAATGCTAATTAAGACCTGAGAGTTCCCCAGGGTTCCGAGTATTAAGAGTATGCACAGAGCAGGCTGTTGAAATTCCCCTCAGGCCCACCCTTTTCCTCTCACTGTTTTTCCTAACTCCTCTTTTGCTTCCTATTAGATACTTCACGTCTTCCAGTTCCTTCATCTGCAGTGTCCAGACGACCATCATTCTACCCAATGCCTATTTCACTTTGCATTTTCTCCTTTTCAAACCATAGGGCTCACGCCGTGTGTCTGTCACACTGTCTCTATCTTTGCTTCCTGCTTCGAATTTACAGGACGCTGTAATAACAACAGCATTTTCAACGTCCTCGTCATACAGTGCTGATGTGTTTGTCAGTTCTATAATAGTTTGAGTTGTTGATTTTTTTTCCCTTTTCATTGCGAATCATATGTTTTTTAAAGCAGATTTGGCAATCCTTGAGTCAATGCCAAAGTTGACATTGGAACACCATCGATACTTTTGAGCTTGTCCTTAGACACAGTTGAGTTGTCTGGGTAGTTTAATGCTTTGGGCTCTTGCTGTTAGGGTAGTTGGAGCAAAGCCCACTTATATCTAACTATTCCCCATCTCTGAAGCCACGCCCTTGCCCAGCACCTTACCCCGTCCTTTGTGACTGGTGAGATTTTTGTACTGGAGTATTAAAGATGGCCAGATATAAGAACACAAGTTTTCAATATTATAGACAGCTCAAGAATTGCCTGCAGATACACAGGAGGGGCAACGCCATTGCAGACCAGAGGGAACACAGAATAATACCCAAAAACATTGCGGAAAACTTCAGATGAGGAGACACTGACTAGGAGTGGGCAAGCCTCACATCCCTTGGCCACGCTCACATCAGCTCCTTGGTGAGAAAGCACTGTGAGCTCCTGACAAAAACCACTATTATCATTTGCTGCTGCGTGCTCACCTACTCCTACGTCTCTGTACTTAAATTAGGCAATAGTAAGTCAATTCCAAGTGCCTGTTTATTTGACTTGTTTAACTTAGTAAATTATACTTTTATTTGTAAAAACTCATATTGAAAGAACAGTTCCCTGCTTTATTATTTACATATGCCTAATCTGGCTATTATCAAGTGATAATGTTTATCATATTTCTAGCGCCAGTGACAGAGACAGGTGTCTGAATGTGGGTTGATCCTGTTGAGCACTGTTCATTATTATCACGTGACCAGCCTTCCAGATGTGCCCATGCTGCCTTGCACATACCTGCTTATATTTACAAAATATTTATAGTATTAATAATCACTTTTTTTCTGTAGAAAAGAAAACATACAAAGATTTCTCTTTTATGTTTTCCTGGGTGTTCCCCCCCCCCATATTAAGTAGCCCTGGCATTTTAAAGAGTCATGGGAAACTCAGGCAAAGGAGGAAATTTTCGTTTATGACGCTGGGGGCGGGGATCCAGGTGAGCCCTTGTATACATAAGACCCTAGGCTTAATCTCAGTGCTTGAAAAACACAAACACAAAAACAAACTATAGAGAGAAAAGAGTTAAAGACGTCCCCTATTTGTGTACCTGCTGGGGGCGTCCCACACAGGTAATTACCACTCTGGACACACGTGTTTCTCAGCGAATTCTTGTGAGACTGAGCAGTACCTCAACTCACCCATACCTCTTCTTCTTCCTCTTCCTCTTCCTCCTGCTCCTCATCGATGTCTGTTTCAGCCTGATAGTCCTCTGCTTCTTCTTCATAATCTTCTGCGTTTAATTCCCAGGCACTATACTTAAAAGGCCCTGTTGGTATTTTACAGGAAAACATTTTTAAAATAATAACAAGTTATTAGTATAATAGTTGAGATAGGAAAGTTAATTATGGTCATTATCTCTTGGTTTTGCTGTGAGACAGAAGGCCTCTATAGGTTCTCTCTATGACAGTCAGTCAGCTTGATTAGTGTTAGTGTGCCCATGGCCGCTCTATGCACTACTTACAACAGGTTGGGACTTTTTATATATTACCCTTAGATGTCCTGAATTTTCACTTAAGAAGCCATTAGAGCAGGCTTAAAGTTCTAGAACGTTTTTGGGCCAGGGCCCACTTGTTACTGCAGTCAGTGATGCTGGTCTTACTTTCCATAGTTTCAATTACGCGCTGAAGGAGGTCCTTGGGCGTTTTGTTGGAAATATCCACTGTTAATATTGGAACTAAACTGTCGGAAATCATCTGCTCCAGTTGTTTCCACAATATTATGTAATTGTTCATCACTTCCTTCAGTGCTTCCATTTCAGGAACGTTGGGGTAGCCATCTTCTGGAAACTCCGGCAACACGACTTTCAAACAGAAGTTAAAAGAGAGAAAAAAGGCTCTGAGAAGAGTCTCTCCAGTCAGACTACCAAAAGGGTCTATACTGTATCATGTTTTTTTGTTTTTTTTTTTAAAAAAAACATTCAGTGAAGAAAATGTAGTATTCTGAACATTGATATAATATATGTATATATAATTATAAATTCATATTCTAATTATATCATATACGCAATTAGATGATTAATTGCCTATTGGGAGAACTAAGATCATGTGGCTGATGAGTGAACTTTATATGGAAACTTTAACTATTGATGCAAAGTGTGAAATACAATCAGATGAAGCAGGGTTGTAAACTGTACACTTTTAAATGGTTTGACATAAATAAACAAAATTCATACTGGCTGGCACAGAGCCTAAACGGAAATAAGCAGACTGTGACTGTGAGCCGTTAGGAAGGCAGGTGCGTGTCCTGTCTAACCTTTCTGTTGGTCTTCGGATTCCAGGGTCTCTTTGGATCCCTTTTGTGGTTCTGCTTCGGCTGCGGTGTCTTCAGGAGGCTTGAATTCTAAAACGATATTCCATATGAACCTTTGGCACAAACTTTTTTTTCAGAACTTAGTTTAAATTATAGATGATATGTCTCATTGAAAATACAGATTTTTTTTATTAAAGGCATAAAGTAGAGCCCAAGGCAGAAAATGAATATTTAAAATATACTGAAAGACAGTCTCAATGCACACAGTCTCTGTGGGAAAGAACTTTTGCTTCACAAGCATGAGGTGGACCTGGGTTTGAGTCCCCAGAGCCCATGTGCAAACCTGGGTATGGCTGTGTGTGTTGGTATCCAGAGCCAGCTTGGCAAACTGGCTCCAAACTCAGGAATGTCACACAGGTGACATCTGTGGTCATGACAACTCTGCATACCTTCTTGAAGCCCACTCCTCACACTCACCTGGGAACCGCCTACATCACAGCCTCAATAAAAGGGAAACTATTCCCCAACTTCGACCCTATTTTCCTTGTCTGTCTCTCTCTCCTCTTTGTCTCTGTTCTTTTCTAATAAAACCTCTGCCATATGGAACTGCTTTGGACTTGTGTGGTCTATCCGGACGGGAGCTGCCATCCCAACACAACAGCGTGTCCTTATTACCCTAGCATTGAGGGGCTGAGATGGGGAGGGGGGGTTCAAGAGCTAACGGAACAGCCAATCTAGACATGTGTGTGCACAAGTACAGGTGCACCCCCCACACACACCACATGCACATATCACACATATATGTATCCACCCCACTAACACATTAATTAGAATAACAGTAGACACGTGGCATATACCATCCTAGTTGGTAACTGTTAAATATTTTAAAAATCTCATTATGGCAGCATCAGATCTGCAATGCCCGACAGTCCCTTTAATTTATCATTAAAGTATCCCCAAGAATGAGCCTAGAGCAGGGAGTGGGGAGGAGAGCAGGGCCTGAGTCGCTGTGAAGAAGCTGAAGAGCGCCTGTCTGGCTGCGTCCCTGTCAGAGGGACAACATGTAAAGCACGTTTCTTACATGATACAGGACACAAGTAAGTCTGCCTTGTCACACACATCAGCCCAGATGGCTTTAGACAAGGCACACTTACTTACGTACCTTTTCGCCCTGTAGTCCCCAAGTCTTCTTCCCAGCCAGCTTTGAACATACATACATATGAACATACATCACAAATGTGTACAGTCATATCATAATACTACCTTCTGAGTTAATACTTGGCTTCTCTTTCAGGAGGATCTATTGTGTTTGAGCTTTATTAGAGCAGAAAGAAGAGAAGGGAGCAGCCCAGGAGCTTTGTGGGTGACATGTCTAATTATTCATTGCTCAATTAATTAAAGCATTATAAATCACAAACCAGAAGAAGAGCATAGAGGATACACAAATAACTGTGAACTGTCTTCATCGGAGGCCGGAGTCACTGAGGAACCAAAGTTCAGCTATGGTTTCAAATGGGCCGTATGAAACAATATTTACAAATATTAAAACCTGGTCTAGATGTTACATATGAACATATAAAATACATAATATATGGACACATATGTGGACAGCCTTTGGTGCCCTTATAGAAATTGGGCGAGTACTTGTCACTGGGCTCTGGAGGAGGAAGTAGGCTCAGATAAGAGTATTCACATTTGGGCTAATGTAAGGATCAAGGTAAACACAGCCAAGGAATGAGTGACTTCCCTTTTGTCTTGGTAATCCTGATGAGCCCCCAGGCCCGGTGACTGGAGGACTTTGTTTACTGCTTTGTTTGATTACTACCTGGTGTGATCTCTTTGTTCATTGCCTTGATTACTTTGTCTTTGATCTAAGAACTGACCCTATTCTCTGCAAGTACCTAGAACAGTGTAAAAGCTGGCCTGGAAGAGATAAAGCTGCTTCAGCCTCCGCACTGGCCGGAGTCATGTTATAATGTTTGTCTAATTGTGTTTTTCTTTTCAATTCTCACTCTTGCGCTTGACACCCTGTGGACTGACTGAGCTGGCTGTCACACATATGTACATATATGAAGTCTATAGCTGAGAAGGCAGGATACAAGGAAGTGCGTCTAAGTGACCTGTGAGTATTAGGGGTGGTTCTTGTAAACACTCTGGCCTTCTTGTTGGTATGTGGCCGGGTTTTCATAAAACCCTCCAAGAGATGCTATGATGAATGGAGTGAGAGTGCTCACTCATAGGTGCGGCTTAACTGCTCCAAGTAGTTTCTTGGGTAAGCTCTTTGTAAATTTTATGCTACATATGCTTAAGGTGCTCTGGGGAAGAGGAGGCAGGAGACGTGGGGCATGAAGATAGGCTGGTCTGGAAGAGAGGCAGAGATACAAGAAACCAGCGGAGGAAAGCCTGTGGATGAAGCTTGTAGAGTGGGGAGCTTGCCTGGAGGGCACAGCGACCTGGGCTCAGTCCCCAGCACCAGCACACACACACACCAGAATGCAGTGGGAGAGTCACACTGGGGAGCACAACACACACACACAGCAGAATGCAGTGGGAGAGTCACACTGGGGAGCACAGTTAGGAGCTTTAAGGAGAGGGGGAGCAAAGGGCAGTGGAGCAAAAGGCATTGAGTTTCAGAGACTACAGAGAAAACCAGGAGAACTTCCTGGTGAGAGGATTAATGTGGTCCCGAAACTAGTTCTCTAACTAAAAACTACTGCATGATCCTGAAAAGGGAAACTGAAGTGATCACTGAAGACTCTTCTGAGCCAGACGAAGACAGAAGAACTGGAACCCAGGAGCAAGCCCGGCAGAATCACCAGCCCTACCCACATCACCTCAGCTGCAGAAACTCATGTCCTTTGTCCTTTCTGGAGGATTAGATAGGAAGACAGCCACATTCAGCAGTGAGGAGAAGCTGACTTCCTCTCAGAATGAGACTGGGTGAAGAATATAAATGAGTCCTTTTCCTATGAACCGCAGGAAGGGCTTAAATGTGCACAGATTCAACTCTCTCAGGACGCAGTCAAATCAGATCAGTTAGGGAGAACAAAACCAAAACATCGTGGTTAGGAAAAACCAAAGGGAAATCTATCAGAATGTGAATAGAGTATTGTTGGGGGGATAAAATATTGCAAGAGGAACAGCAAACAGCTTTAGACCTCAGGGACTGCAGTCCATGGGGTATCACACCCACGATGGTGTGCCTCTGACAGCAGAGTCCCCAGGACTGCAGGTCCCAAGGACACCATGCTACTCTGGAGCTTTGCTCTGTTTGTTGCCCTTCCATCCCTCCTAATCTACGAGAGGTATGAAAACTCTATGTGGTTTCCAGCCCCTCACTGGATACTTCCCAAAATCGTGACTGATCTTTTTCAAAGCACTGTTGCTAGAGCAGATTAATGATTCAACCACCACGCTTAGAAAGAATCTGGAGATGCAGATTGCTGGTAAAGTTGAGATGGCTTTTAGTGGATCTGACGTAGAAAATGGTAAGGAATGTAGAAAGGCGCGCTTTCGGGAATTGTGCAAGGGATCGGTCACAGTCACCCTACCTCAGTTTACCTGTCATGTTGGAGCTGGTTTCTGACAAAATATTACTGGCCTTTTGTAGGCAGAAGTGAAGTGATTTCTTTGTGCGAATTTTACAATTCTATGGTTAGCATATAGTTAGTTAAAATCGGATGAATGTCGGAATTCTTTTATAGCAGTTAACATCAATATCAGTTATGGTCATGGTGTGTGTGTGTGTAATGCGTGTGCAAGCACATGCATGTGTGTGCACTCACGTGCATGTGTGTGCATGTGTGTGCAGTCATCCCATGCAGCTATGCAGTGTACATATGGAAGTCAGGGACACTGGGTGTCAGTCTTCACCATCTATCTTGTCTGGGACAGTGTCTCCTCTTCACTGCTTCCTGTGCCAGGCTGGCTGTCCCACAAGTTTCCAGGGATTCCCCAGTTTCTAGCCCTTCCCACCTCCCCAAAAAGCCTAGGTCCAAATAATATGCTCCTGACTTCATGTGGGTCTCGAGATTCAAACTCAGGCACTCACATGCATGGCAGGTGCTTTAACCCACTGAGACTTCTCCGAAGCCCTGGCCATGGCCTTAAATATATGATTTTTAAAACTGAGATGGTCCCTTCAGTGCATCAATTCACGGGGAAGCTGCAGAACACCATGGTCCTAAATCACCTATAGTTCATATTTTCATGATCAAACTCAATAAGACCAATTTCTGGTATATAAGGGATAATTCGTTTTTAAAAATTTCAGGGGCACTCCTTCTCTGACAATCACTTTTAATTGCTACAATTTATATGAATCTGATGATTTATATGAATCTGAGTTTTCATTAACATGCTGTGGTGGTTCGAATTGGAATGGATCTCTTAAACTCATGTGTTTGAATGAATGGCCCACAGGGTGCGGCCTTGTTGGAGTGGGTGTGATCTTGTTTGAGGAAGTGTGTTGCTGTGGGGGTGGGCTTGGAGGTCTCATACCCCAGTGTGAAACACAGTCACTTCCTGCTGCCTGCAGATCAAGATGTAGAACTCTCAGCTCCTTCTCCAGCACCATGTCTGCCTGCATGCTGCCGTGTTTCCTGTCATGATGATAATGGACTGAACCTCTGAACCCGTGAGCCAGCCCCAATTAAATGCTTTCTTTTATAAGAGTTGTTGTGTTCATGGTGTCTCTTCACAGCAATAGAACACTGACCAAGACATGTGCATATTCCCAACCTTCATCTTAGACACACACACACACACACACACACACACACACACACACACACGATTTGGAAAAGATCTTCACCAACCGAACATCGACAGAGGGCTAATATCCAAAAGATATAAAGAACTCAAAAGGTTAGACACCTACAAACCAAATAACCTGATTAAAAATGGGGTACAGAGCTAAACAGAGAGTTCTCAATAGAGGCATCTTGAATGGCAGAGAAGCACTGAAGCATTGCTAGTCATCAGGGAAATGTAACTCAAAGTGACCCTGAGGTTCCATCTTACATCCATCAGAATGGCTAAGATCAAAAACTTAAGCAACAGCTCATGCTGGCCAGGACGGGGAGCAAGGGGAACACTCCCCCATTGCTGGTGGGAGTGTAAACTTGACAACTACTCTGGAAATCAAGTTGGCAGTCTCTCAGAAAACTGGGAATAGTTCTACCTCAAGACCCAGCTACACCACTCCTGGGCATGCACCCCAAGACCCAGCT